CCACTTGCTTCATCCCAGTTAATTTTATCCCGTGCTCATCTCCCGATCCCAGTATCACTGAAACCTGCAGGGAAGGGGAGCGCTGCCATCGGCCACGTGGGGCTCCAAAAAACATCAATATTGATTCAGAGGGAAGAAAACAGAGCCCGGGGCTGGGTGTGCATCGCTCCTGCCCAGCGCGGCCACGGCTCCAAAACACAGAAAATACTGGAATAACCAACAACCTGGGCAAATCCTTAATGTGGAAAACACTGGGAATAACCAACAACCTCTGCAAATCCATAACAGGGAGAACACCAGGAATAACCAACAACCTGTGCAAATCCTTAATGTGGAAAACATTGGGAATAACCAACAACCTGGGCAAATCCATAAAACAGAAAACATCAGGAATAACCAACAACCTGTGCAAATCCATAACAGGGAAAACAACAGGAATAACCAACAACCTGGACAAATCCATAAAACAGAAAACATTGGGAATAACCAACAACCGGGGCAAATCCTTAATGTGGAAAACACTGGGAATAACCAACAACCTGGGCAAATCCATAATGTGGAAACACCAGGAATAGCCAACAACCTGTGCAAATCCATAACAGGGAGAACACTGGGAATAATCAACAACCTGTGCAAATCCATAATGTGGAAAACATTGGGAATAACCAAAAACCTGTGCAAATCCACAACATGAAAAACACTGGGAATAACCAACAACCCCACTTTGAGGCTGCGCAAACCCATCCAGCCTCCCATCCTGTGGGAGAGACAAACAAGATCCCCTTTTCCCTGTGGGAATTCACCTGGGGGGGAGTGGGAAATCAGAGCATGATGTTTGGGAGTCTGGTTATGAAGTTTGGTTCAATGCAGTCTCAGGAACTTTAAAAAACACTTTATAAAGTCAAAAATGAGGCACTTGGGGCAGTAAGGGGATGATACAGTAAAATCCAGCAATCCATTCTCTTTATTTTTAGGAGTGCTGGCCAAGGGAATCATTGGATTGCACATGAGGAAGAGGAGGATGAGGATGCTCCAAGAGATCCCAAAGCCTAAAGAAAGCCATGGAGCGTAGCCAGGATACCAAAAACATCTCAGCTGTCCATGCAAGGCTAGAAAAGCAGAGCTGCCTCACTGCCTGGGTGCAGGAATCAGGAATTTGGGGATTTAATCCAGGTTCTATCATCAGCAGGAGCTCTCTGGAACAGCTCTCCTGTGCTGGTACAAGGGTCATCACTGTGCTCTTGGGAGTGACCCCTGCATTCCAGGGAGCATTCCCTGTGCTCCTGGGAGCATTTCCCATGTTCCAGGGAGCATTCCCTGTGTTCCTGGGAGCATTCCCTGTGTTCCAGGAGCATTCCCTGTGATCCTGGGAGCATTTCCTGTGTTCCAGGGAGCATTCCCTATGTTCCAGGAGCATTCCCCGTGTTCCAGGAGCATTCCCCGTGTTCCAGGAGCATTCCCTGTGTTCCAGGAGCATTCCCTGTGTTCCAGGGAGCATTCCCAGCCCTCATGTAGCACAGAGAACTCACAAGGAGCAAGGGATGGTCCAGGATTAACTCCACACCACTCAACAAAGCAGCAACCTGCCAACAGCCCTTAAATCTCTGGGGATTTCCCTTACAAAAAAATTAAGGATATGAGTGCTCAGGAGCCAAAATGGTGGCAATTTATGCAACCTCCCAGCTCTGCAAAACAATGCTGAGGACAAAGCTCCATCCTCTTCCTCAGCTGCAGCATCCAAGCCTGGAAAAAGAGGGATCAACCCAGGACTAACGGCACCCAACGCCAGAGAGACGCACGTGGAAGCTGAGCAAAGTCCCTGCTTCCCTGAGGGAAATGAATTTGTAGAGCATTTTTAAAGCTTAATAGAAAGTTCACATAGTGTATAACCCAACGCTTTCCAAAGCAGCCAGGGCTGGAACAAAACTCTCCCTCCCCGGAGCGATGCCAGGGCCGGACGTGCCTCGCTGTGACATTTCAGCAGCGGGGCACGACCCCACGTGTGTCAGCGCTGCCACGGACGTCAGCCGGGCCCCGCGGCCGTGAATGGCCCGATTGATGCCGGGAGGGCAGCCCCGGAGGGAGCCGGGATGAGGGCAGCCCCGGGAGGGAGCCGGGCTGAGGGCAGCCCCGGGAGGGAGCCGGGATGAGGGCAGCCCCAGAGGGAGCCGGGATGAGGGCAGCCCCGGGAGGGAGCCGGGATGAGGGCAGCCCCGGGAGGGAGCCGGGATGAGGGCAGCCCCGGAGGGAGCCGGGCTGAGGGCACACACACACCCAGGGCTGCACTGAGGTTACACGATCAGGGCCGGACTGAGGGCACACGTCCATGGCTGGACTGAGAGCACACACAGGGCCGGACTGAGGGCACACATCCATGGCCAGACTGAGGGCACACGTCCATGGCTGCACTGAGGGCACACACGCACACACACACACACAGGGCCGGACTGAGGGCACACGTCCATGGCTGCACTGAGGGCACACACACACACACACACACACACCCAGGGCCGGACTGAGGGTGATTGTGTGGCCGCCGTGGCGCTGGAAGCCCGCAGGCTCCGAGCTCCTCGTGCGTCAGCCGCGCTCCGGAGGGTGACGCGGCCGGAGAAGAAAGACACTCAGAATTCCCCGGAGTTCCCCCCGCTCGCTGGGCAACTGCTGGAGTTCTGGATGCTGAGAGTTTTACATTTTCTGTACAGACTCTGACCCCCAGGAGAGTGCTGCGTTTGACCTGAGGCGGTGGAGAAGGTTTCCAAAATTGATTGATAGCACTGGGATTATGAGTGTGGAGTTGGTTACAAGTGTATGACATCACAGGGTGGAAAACTCAGAGTTTGGGATCTTAGAATATAGTAATAAATATGGAGCAAGATGGAGGTTTTAGGACAGAGGCAGGCTGTTCTTCTTTACCTTCTTCTTTCTTCTTCTCCATGGGTTTGGGTGGTTTTTGTAACTGAACAGAAAAGTCCACAGTGCGGGCTTTGCGGGATCAGTTATTCGGTTAAAAGTGAAAATAATTTAGGTATCATTTCTTAATTGGATAGATTAACCTTAAAAGACCTTGTACCAAGAGATAGTTAACCATTTTGTGCCTTGCTAATGAAAGACTGCAGATCTCATTGCTGTGAGACTGTAACTGATAAGAAATAATAAACATCAGAGTCTAAACTATCATCTCAAGTACCTTCAATCCCAACCTCAACAGAGGTAGAAAAAGGAAGCCAAAAACCAGCAGGCAACGACCTTGGATTCCTCCCCAGAAAAAGGCAAAAACAGGCAATCTGCCAGAGAAAGGGCTCCCAGAAAAAGCCACGTGTGTTGTGGTGACAAGGAACAGTCCCTGGGGCTGGATGGACACCAGGAATTGCAAGTGGAAGTGTGGATACCCTGCACCCAAATTATTCCGTATCCAGCGTGTGAAGGGATTATTTATCCCTCACATTTTGGCCCTGAAGCTCCTCCTGGAACAGAGGGTCCCTTCCAGAGTCCCTTTCCTCAGGCTCTCTGGGAAAAGTTGGCTCCAAAACCTCATTAGCCAATGCTGTCCATAACTGTTGATGTTCTGAGATGAGTAAAGCAAAACCAAAGTGATTCCAGGGGATAAATGTGTATTTTTAGCCCAAATGCCCAGTTTTAATCAGCACCTGTGTGTGCCTCATTACATTCTCGCAGTACATTTCCAAACCACAACTCCACAGCTCCCAACCCAAAAAATTTTCCATTGTCACCATGGAACTCAGCCTTCCAGGCAAGGAAAAGCCCTTTTAGCTCTTGATCCATCCCATCCTTTGCCTCTCACAACAGTGCTGGATCTCCAGAACTACCCAGGATGAGAAACCACACACAGCAGTCCAGATTAATTACTAATATTATTGATTTCTAATACAATTCAAATAAATAAGCACCAATGTGTCCAAACGGAGCCCTCATCAGTTTGATTCAAACACATGGGAATTCTTCTTTCCTCTTTTTTGAAGGAAAAGGCTTTACTTTCATGGAGTTGAAGGTGGTTTTTCAGCATTTCAGAGCCAATGGGGACACTGGGGACCCTCCATGTACCTGCAGCAGCACCTGGGCAGGGAGGAGGGGGAGCGGTGGGAAGGGCTCAGGGGGTGCTGTGGGGAGCACAGGTGAGGGGTGTGAGGGGTGCACACCTCTGGGGCGGCTACAGGGACAGCAGGGACAAACCTGGCCAGCGCTGGGGATCCCGCCAGAACAAACCTGGCCAGGACTGGGACAAACTTGGCAAAGACTGGGACAAGCCTGGCCAGCACTGGGGCAAACCTGGCCAGGACTGGGACAAACCTGGCCAGAACTGTGACAAACTTGGCAAAGACTGGGACAAGCCTGTCCAGCACTAGGGCAAACCTGATCAGGGCAGGGGACCCCACCAGGGCCAGCACCAGGACAAACCTGGCCAGAACTGGGACAAACCCGGCCAAGACTGGAGATCCCACCAGGGCCAGCACCAGGACAAACCTGGCCAGCACTGGGACAAACCTGGCCAGGACTGGGGACCCCACCAGGGCCAGCACCGGGGCCGCTCCAGGCCCAGCAGCGGGACCCACTCCGGGGCCAGCAGCGGGCCAAGCCAGGCCAGCGCTGTGAACCCACCGGCTCCGCTCCAGGGCCTGCACCGGGGCTCCCACCGGGGCCCGCTCCGGGCCCGTCCCCGGCTCCTCCTCACCCGCAGTGCCCACGGTGAGGAGCCGGGACCGGGCGGGCCGGTGCCAGCGGCTCCGGTTCCCCCGCCCTGCCCCGCTCCCGCTGGTCCCGGTTCCTCCGCCCTGACCCGGTCCCGGTGCCGGTGCCGGCGCTCCCTTCCCCCTCTCCTGCCCCGCTCCCGGTTCCTCCTCCCTGACCCGGTCCCGGTGTTCCCGTTCCCCTGCCGTGCCCCGTCCCGGTTCCTCCACCCAGACCCGGTGCCGGCGCTCTCGTTCCTCCGCCCTGGCCCGGTGCCGGTGCTCCCGGTGCCCCGGGGGTCCCCCCGCACTCACCAGCTCATCTTCCCCCTCCGCCCCGCGCCGCTCCCGGAAGTGCCGCCGCTTCTGGCCCCGCCCCTTCCGGCAGCGCTCACCCCCGGGGCCGCGCGCCGCGGTGACGCCACGCGGCGGGGGCGTGACGTCACACAGCGGGGGGGAGTGTGACGTCACGGGCAAGGCGCGGGGGGAAAAGACCCCGAAATTCGCCCGGTTTCGGTGCAAGGGCTGGAAATGGGGCGGGAGGGGGTGGAGATAAACCGCTGGGAGCTGTGGAGCGTCCCCGGGGTGGGCAAGGAGAAGGAATTGCCTGGATCACCCCTGGGTGGGCAGGAGGAATTGCCTGGATCACCCCGGGTGGGTGAGGAGAAATTGCCTGGATCACCCCTGGGTGGGCAGGAGGAATTGCCTGGATCACCCCGGGTGGGTGAGGAGAAATTGCCTGGATCACCTCTGGGGTAGGCAGGAAGGAATTGCCTGAATCACCCTTGGGTGGGCAGGAAGGAATTGCCTGGATCACCCCTGGGTGGGTGAGGATGAATTGCCTGGATCACCCCTGGGGTGGGCAGGAAGGAATTGCCTGGATCGCCCCTGAGTGGGCGAGCGCATGGCGAGGGAATGCCCAGGAACATCCCAAAAGTGGGTGAGGGCAGGAGCATGGAATGCCCAGGAACAGCCCGGAGTGGGCAGGGGCACAGGGAGGGGATGCCCAGGAGCATTCCTGGGGTGGGCGAGGGTCAGGAATTGCCTGGGATTACCCCTGACATGGGCAAGGATGCAGCAAAGGGGCTGTCCAGGGGCGCCCCTGGTGTGGGCGAGGGTCAGGAACTGCCTGGGAGGAATTGCCTGGATCACCCTTGGGTGGGCAGGAAGGAATTGCCTGGATCACCCCGGGGTGGGAATGGAGAAGGAATTCCCTGGATCACCCCTGGGTGGGTGAGGATGAATTGCCTGGATCACCCCTGGGGTGGGCAGGAAGGAATTGCCTGGATCGCCCCTGAGTGGGCGAGCGCATGGCGAGGGAATGCCCAGGAACATCCCAAAAGTGGGTGAGGGCAGGAGCATGGAATGCCCAGGAACAGCCCGGAGTGGGCAGGGGCACAGGGAGGGGATGCCCAGGAGCATTCCTGGGGTGGGCGAGGGTCAGGAATTGCCTGGGATTACCCCTGACATGGGCAAGGATGCAGCAAAGGGGCTGTCCAGGGGCGCCCCTGGTGTGGGCGAGGGTCAGGAACTGCCTGGGAGCGTCCTGAGCTGGATGAGGGCATGGACAGGGGTGCCCGGGGTTATTCCCTGGGGTGGGCGAGGGCACAGGGAAGGGATTCCCGGGGACATCCGGGGATGGGCGTGGGCAGGGCATGCCCAGGGACACCCTGGGGTGGGCAAGAGCAGGGGGAGGAGCAGGACTGCCCCAGTCGAGGAAATCCAAGGGGCATACATGGCCTTTGGAAGAGCAGGAGCACCCAATTTTGGGCAGAAACCCCCCCAATCCCATCTTGAGGAGGCTGGCCAGGGCTGGGAGGGACAGCAAAGTCCTTTTGGTGACCAAAAACCCGCCGTGTCCTCAGCACTGACCCATCAGCCACCTCCATCCGCGAGCCCGGCATGCAGCAGAGCCCCCCACGATCGGGGTGCCCTTGGAGCCCCTGTTCCAGCCCAGGGTGCCATCCTGGGGCTGGGAAGCAGGGCTGGTGCCAGCAGCCACATGGCAGCACACGGGGCGGCGGCGCGGGCCGGGCGCCAGGGGTGGCTTTATCAATTAGCAGGTGGAGGTAAACAGCACGGTAATTACAGCCAGCGAGGATGATGCTAAACTGGGAAGGTGTTACCGACACCGCTGAGGACAGGGATTAGCCCAAAAGGAGCAGGGGGAGGGGGCAGATCCGGGGGGGGCACCAGTGCCAGAGTGGCTCCCCCCACCATTGTCCCATTTTGTGCAGGATGGGCAGGAGGAGCCAGGCTGGGTGGAGAGGGGACGTTGCGAGGTGGCCTGAGAGGGAGGGATCAGTTTTGGGGTGGGCAAAACCCTGAGGGGAGGCAGCCAGGAGGGTCCCCACATCCCCATCCAGGTGTGGGCAGGGTGAGGAGGAGGAGGAGGAAGGCTGGGGCCAGGAAGGTTTTGCTGCCAGCTGGGCCAGGCTGCTGCTCCCGGCCTGTCCCCAGCGTGGTGCCCCTCACTGTCACCTCGGGGCGCAGGGGATGGGACAAGACAGAGCTGGGATGAGCCTGGGTCTGTCATCCTGATGGTCACAGGACTCGGGGAGCAGCTGCTGTGGAGGCTCTGCCCTTTGTGTCTCTGTCCCAGGAGGATGAGTCTGGCCCCTTCCTCCAGAAGGGATGGGGATGGATCCACATGGTCCCACGGGGTGGGAGATGAGGTCAGATGATCCAGAACCATCCAGGCCTTCTGTGGGTGATGTCTCCTGCCAGGCAGTGGCAGAAGCTGAGCCAGAGGTGAGAAGATCAGGGATCCCATCAACATCTGTACTCCAGCTGCAAACCAGGAGCTTCTGGCTGTGGGTCCTCGTCGCTCCCAACCCCAGGGACAGTCTCAGCTCTTGGTGCTCCTCCTGAGCAGCAAATCCCATCCCACGGAGGGCTCTTGGATCCAACCACATCCTGCAAAGCCCCGAAGACCCTCAGCAGGGAGGAGCGAGGTGTTGGTGGCCTCCTCAGGACCCCGCCGCTCCCGCTGAAGAGGCAAAGGCAGCAAGTTCTGTGGAGCTGGTACGTGACTGGAAGCCCTTCCCTCCTCCCCAGAACACAGATAGCCCAGAACGGGGATGGAAAGTGCCGTGTTTCCGTAGCAACCAACATTTTTCGTGCAAGGTGCTGCACGCACTCCCCGCGCTTTGCCACCCAAGGGTGCTCCTCACCTTCCTGCTCCGCGCCAGGGGGGTCCTGCCCAGCGGGATGCCTAGGCCCGGCTGGCAGAGAGGGTCCCCAGGGCCTGGTGGGCTCTTTCCCTCCTCCTTGCCCGCAGAAGGAGCCCAAAGCGTTGGTGCAACGTTGGGTGGCTCCTCACTGGGGCAGCTCCTCTGCTGTGCCCGTTCCCAGGATTTCCAGTGTTTTCCAGGATGAGCCACCGCTGGAGATGGGCAGCACCAGCAGCACCAGCACCTGCACAGCACCCTCAGGTGGCGCTGGGGACCGTGGTGGCACTGCCTGTGGGTGGTGGCTCTGGTTCCTGCCCCCCTGAGCCACACACGCGGACACCACAGGGACACCGGTGGCTCCCAAACCATCCCGCAGCCCCTGATGGCTGCAGGACCTCCAGAGCACGCAGGGAAGGACAATCCCAGCTCATTCCAATCCAGCCTCACATGGCCACCAAACACTCGACCACCGGGAATCCACATGGAGGAAACCTGGTGCAGCGCCAAAGCCAAGTCCTCAACACCACAAGATGCCATCCCTGTCTGGGCCAGCTGTGCCCCAAGTCAGAGCCTGGATTTTCCCCAAAATTAAAGCCTTTCCAAGCCAGGGAGCGCAACAAACCCCCTGGACGGGCAGAGCTGCCCTGGAATGGCCGGAGCAGCAGCTTTTCCAGGCCCGGCTGCAGATCCAAATCAAAAAACAGGAAACCTGGCAACGTTGCCAATGCTTCCAAACCCTGGGAACACCAGGAAAGACCACAGTGCCGATGCCAACCACCAGCACTGCCAGCAAGGCCTTGGGAAGGAGGACATTGTGGGGTGCTCAACCGGTCACGCTCCACCCCAGCAGAGCTGGACCCGTGCACACCAAGGGGCCCCCAGAGCCCGGTCTGGGATCCTCCAGCACAATCCCAGCTCTGGGATTCAGGCTCTATCCCCATCCCTGGGGAAGGATCCAACCACCACACGCCACCACTCCAAACATGCAAGCGCCTCCAAACTCCTTCTCCCACTCGTTCCTCGTGCCCGTGCGAGCGCCAGCGCTGAAACCCAGCGATTTATTTTTATCCCGAGCGATCCAGCCTGGGAAAAAAATCCCCTGCAGGCGCTGTCCCCGGGGCGATTTGGCGAAGGGCGCGGGAGCATTACCGGCTGAAGCGGCGCGATCCTCTTTGGTGGCCCAAAGTTATCCCGGCAGCCGCGGAAGCCACCGGCAAAATGGTGACGGGGTCAAGGCGGCGACGGCACGAGCGGGGAAAAACAGGATGGGAGGTCAAGGGCAAAGCAAGGACGTGGCGGATTTTTGGGGACAGGGTGGGTGCCCCCATCCTGGGTGGGTGTCCCCGTGCCGATCAGGTTCCCCCATTCCAGTGGGGTTCCCCCATCCCGGTGAGGTGCCCCCATCCTAGTGGGGTTCCCCAATCCCGGTTGGGTTCCCCCCATCCTGGTTGGGCTCCCCCATCCTGGTCGGGTTCCCCCATCCCGGTGAGGTGCCCCCATCCTAGTGGGGTTCCCCAATCCCGGTTGGGTTTCCACCATCCTGGTTGGGCTCCCCCATCCTGGTCGGGTTCCCCCATCCCAGTCCCCCCATCCTGATCAGGTTCCCCCATTCCAGTGGGGTTCCCCCATCCCGGTGAGGTGCCCCCATCCTAGTGGGGTTCCCCAATCCCGGTTGGGTTCCCCCCATCCTGGTTGGGTTCTCCCATCCCGGTCGGGTTCCCCCATCCCGGTCGGGTTCCCCCATCCCGGTCGGGTTCCCCAACCCGGTCGGGTTCCCCCCATCCCGGTTGGGTTCCCCCATCCCAGTCAGGTGCCCCCATCCCGGTTGGGTCCCCCCATCCCAGTCGGGTTCCCCCTTCCCGGGGAAGACGGGACGCGAGGACGGAGCCGGTCGCCTTCGGGGTTGCCCAGCGGGGTCCTGCTGTGCCGTCCTGTGGATAGAACTGAAGCAGAGGGAGGGGGACTGAGAAAAAAAAGTGGGTTACTTTTTTTAAAAAAATCATATAAAAAATAATATTTAAGGAAATACAGCACTAGGAAAAAAAACTCTGTACAAACAGGTTTCAAAGTCGCCCGTAAAGAGACACAGCACCCAATTCCCTGCACATTTCAACCATTTTTACACTCCCCTTACACATTAAAACCTTGGTTTTTTTTACTTTCCAAACCAATATAGATCAATTTAAGCAAA